TTAAAAGTAGGTTGTAGGGGGCCGGGGATTTAGCTCAGTGGTTTCACCGCGTGCTACGCAAGCGCAAAGACCCGAGTTCAATCCCCGGTACCAAAAAAAAAAAAAAAAAAGTAGTTTGTAGCTAGCAGCTAAAAGTAGCTACTTGCTCCCTTATTACTATTACTTAAAACATTTATTACATGCATTCTTTAGTATAAAATAAAACTTAAAATTTTTAAAATTAAATTACAGTACATTCATACTATGGAATAAATCAGTCTTTCTATAATGTGACATATGCAATACTAAAACAGTCACCTATGATGTAAAACTGCATAGTAAGAACCACAGGGTGGGTGGGGTGGGGCAATAAAAATATGAAATTTTAAAAAGAACAAGGTTTACGGGAAAAGTATGGTTTGGATACAACACTGAAAAACTCCCATCGGTGACATAAAAAGGGAATCTAATTGAAAGGGTGGTACTTTATTGTGCGTTAGGTGGTTAAGAAACATATAAATACCCTAACAAATATGCCACCTTACCTTGAAAAGGACATCAAGTCTGCTGTGGAAGTCGGCGCGGGAGGGTTACAGCCTGAGCTTTTCTGTGACATGGTAGAAGGAGGGCTGTGTGGAATCCACAGCAAGCCCTATCACCAGATGCGGGTGGGCGGGTGAAGCTCTTAACAAAGCAGTAAACTGATATCACCATAAGATGTTTCAGCTGCATATCTGAGCCCCCTACACATTTAACAGGTTGTAGTTTTCTGTCTTCACCTAAGTGTTCCTAGCAAATGAAGTCGTGTGTGAAAAAATTTAAAATTCACATTCTGCTCATATGGTTCCCAAATGTATGTCAATTGCTTGGAAACAAATTTGTGTTTTCTTATGGCAGAACTGCCTGTTTTGCTCTAAGACTGTAATGTAGTAATGAAAAAGAATGTGCTGGGGCTGGGGGTTTAGCTCAGTGGTTTCGCCACCTGCTGCACAAGCGCAAGGACCTGAGTTCGATCCCCGGTACCAAAAAAAAAAAAAAAAAAAAAGAATGTGCTGGGGTGGGGGATGTAGTGCCCTCGGCAAGCACAAGGTCCTGAGTTCAATCCCTGGTATGGGGGTGAGGGGTGGGGGCTGGGGGTATTGACCTGGAAATACCTCCAAAATAAACTTAAGGTTTAAACAGGAAGGTGCATAAGAGTGCGTATGGTTTGACTGCTTCTGTATAAAATATGGGAGAGTGAAGAGAGGAGAAAGTAATGCCAGTGTATGCTCTTTTAGGCCTTGGGAGGAAGGAAAGTCAAAATGATTAGTAATAGTTGCCTCTGGTAGTGGATCTGAATTTTAATTTTATTCCTGACTACCGTGTTTGAGTTTTCTTACTATACGTATTGGTATTGTAGTGAGCAAAATGAACAAAAAGACTAATCTGGGAGATGGATTAGAGGTGTCTGCATGTTTGTATTTCTCTGTTTTTTGTTTAATAAACAACTACAGAGAATGAATTGACTGGTGGAATGTAAAATAGTATAACCACTTTGAAAAACAATTCGGCAGTTTCTTATAAAAACTATCACATGACCCAGGCATTCCACTCCAAGCATTTACCAAGAGAAATAAAAGCCTGTACAAAAACCTGTACACGAAACCTGTTCACAGCAGCTTATATACAACAGCCAAAAACTAGAAACACTAATTGGGAGCCTGAAGTAGGAAGATGACTTAAACCTAGGAGTCTGAGACCAGTCTGGGCAGCATTGTGAAACCGCCTCCACCCCAAAAAAGCCAGGCAAAGTGGCACAAGCCAGTAATCTAAGCAGTCAGGAGGTTGAGGCAGGAGAATTGCAAGTTTGTGGCCACCTGGGCTACATAGTGAGTTCAAGGTTGGCCTGACTATGTACTGAGACACTGCCTCGAAAACAAAAAGGAACAAAGGCCGAGAGGAAGCAGGGGAGGGAGGGGAGAGGATATAGTTGTGGTGTGGAGTTAGGGTCAGGGATGTAGGCCAGTGGCATACTATGTACTTAGCATGCCCCAGGCCCTGGGTTCAATCCCCAGCACCTATCTCTCTTCCCCTCCACCCCTCCCACACACATATTAGAATCAACCCAAATGTCCATTTACAGGTGAATGGATTAAATAATTAAACTGCAATGTAGTCATACAATAAAATATCACCTATCAGTAAAAACAAATACATTATTGATAAATGCAACAACATGAATCTCAAAATGACTGAGTGAAAGAAGCCAGTTTAAAAAAAAATTCATACTCCACGATTCCATTTACATAGAATGCAAGTAGTCTCCTGTGACAGGAAGCTGCCCAGTGGTTGCTTGGGGAAGGAGGAAAAACACGAGGGCAGTGTTCGTGAGGGATTTTGGGGGGTGATGAGGATGCTGACAATCTTGACTGGCTGATGGTTTCACAGGTAAGTTTTGCAGCCTTTTGGAAGTCTGGCAGATCCTCAAAAGGCTAAACACACAATTATTATAGGACCTGACCTTCCACTCCCAAATGTGTATCCAAGAGAAAGGAAAATGCATGCCCATGCAAAAACTTGTGAATATTTGTAACAGCACTCAGCATTATTTATACTAGCAAGAAAGTGGCAACAACCCCAATGCCCATCTGCTGAGGACTGGATAAGGATGTGGGGTATATTCCTGTGATGGAACATCGCCAAGCAAGAGAAGTCCTGAATTGTGCTGCAACATGGGAGAACGCTAAAAACGCTGTGCTGAGTCAGACAAAGCACACGGTTGTAGAAATGTGCAGTAACTGGCAAATCCAGATACAGAAAGTAGGTGCCAGGAGGGGACAGACAGCTGAGACTGACAGCTGATAGGCTATTTTCAGAGTGACAGAAATATCACAGAATCAGGTAACAGTGATGGTTGTGCAGCCTCACGAATATACTAAAAACCTCTGAAAACCAATGCACTTTTTTTTGGTGGTGGTACTGAGGATTGAACTCATGGACCTCGAACTGAGCCACATATATATACATATTTTTAATTTTTTTTTTTTAAATTTTGAGACAGGGTCTCACTAAGATGCCCAGGCTGAGATCCTCCTGCCTCGGCTTCCCAGCATGCTCGGAATCATACACTTTAAAACAATTATGTGGATATTTCAATTTTAAAAGTATATACCCATCCCCTCAAATACATTTATTTAAAATACAGTATATCTATAACTGTAAATAAAGCTGAAGCCCTCCCCACCCTGCACAGCCTTCTTTGCCACCACAGGACCACGCCCCCTCCACAGTTCCTGGTCTTCAGAGGACCCACCCATGCCCAGTTGTTACCTCTGCAGGTCTGTGGTCATCAAAGGGCCTGGGCCCGAACATCCCACAAGGACCTTCCAATGGGTTCCAATTTCAACTCAACCCCTTTCTCCGCTTACCAAACACTCTTCATCCTTCCAACATCAAATTAAATTTCAACTCATCCACGCAGTAAAACCTAGCTTTCAAAAACTTTTTGCTTATACGGAGCAGATGATACAGAAGGACCTGCTGCAAAAATCTTGTTTTTTATGAAAGAAAAGCTCGACCCCCAGCTTCCAATGGGTAGCAGCACAGCAAAGAGCTTGAAAGAAAGGCAGGAGTAAAGGCAGGAAGCCTAAACCACGTGCGGTGGTGCACCCCTGTAACCTCAGCACTCGGGAGGCTGAGGCAGGAGGATTGCTGAAAAGTTCGAGGCCAGCATGGCTTACACAGTGAGTTACTACAGTTCAAGGTGAGCCTGAACTACATATCCAGACCCTGTCTCAAAAACAAAAACAATAAGGGAGATGCGGGCCAATTTAAGGAAGAGTCAAATAAAAATCTATAGTTGAATGAGAAGAGAGAAGGATCAAGTACTTCTGAGAACCAGTACTCTAAAGACAGGGCAATCCACGTCAGAAATGAACTGGACTCACAGACCTGCAACTTAAATATTGGTCCTCCTCTATATATTTTATAATAAAAATCAGAGCAAACTGCAGTGCATCTATTGACTAGGAATTTAAAACAATGAAAAACATATGAGGAAAGTTCTGCATAATGTCGAGCTGCAGATTTTAAATATCTGAAGAACTCAGGACAATCAGAAAGTAACAAAAAGATGGGCAGAGAGCAAGAACAGAAATTCACAAATGGCCAATAAATGTGAGCAAGACGTTCAAACACACCTGTAATCAAGGAATGACACAAACCATTTTTCATGTATCACATTTAGTTTTGGAAAAGATAAAAATAAAGTACTTTGAAGAAAGGCACTTTCTCCTAATTTCTTTACACCTCAATCCCATTCAACTACTCTATTTCCCACCTCCGACTTTTTAACCCGAGGAGAGTTTTAACCCGCGGGCATTAGGGGGTGAACGCAGGGGCTCGCACCATGCTAGGCAAGCACTCTGCCACTGAGACAACATCCCCAGCCCCCAAATGACAACCTTCCTAAACATTTCAGAAGCACTGGTAAGGGGATGATTCTTCCAGAAAGGAGATAACTGCTTTTTCCCATACTCTGCTCAATCTTTTATCTACTGGTCCTAGAAGTGAGTTCACAACCCGTTTGCTTCTCTCTCTCCACGACACGTTTGTTTTCCCTAAGTGACCTCCATCTTCCCATGCTTTTCAATTCATCACACACCGATTATTCCCAAATACTTCACTCTGGTCTCTCCCCAAGTTCCAGAGCTGCACATCCAACTGCTTCCACAACACACTGATTTTGTAAGTAATATACATCTCAAATTTAATTCACCCAAAATAGAACCCATGACTTTTCTCTCCTTTTCTTCAGTAAATGGTACCACCATTTATCTCCTCAGTTGCTCGAAACAAGAATTTAAAAAGCAAAGATTCCTCTCTTTTCCTCGCCAATCCTTTTTTCCTTTTTGGTACCGGGAATTAAACTCAGGACCTTGCGCTTGCCAGGCAGGCGGCGGCACCACTGAGCTAAAACCCTGGCGCCAATCCTTTTTTGAGGCAGGGTCTCTCCATGTACTTCAGGCTGGTCTTGAACTCACCATGTAGACCAGGATGGCCTTGAACTCGCAATGATCCTCCTGCCTCAGTCTCCCGAGGCATGCGCTACCAGTCCGGCAACAATCCATTTCTAAGTCTTGTTACTTGTACCTCCAAAATACTTTTCAACCCTTTTCCGCTTCCCCATCTCCGCCGCCATGGGCCTAGGCCAAGCTACTGCGGACAGCATCTTAAACCATCTCCCAGCGCCCTCTCCCGACTTTTTCCTCCGAGCAGCAGTCAGATTATGCGACTCCCCTTCTCAAAACCTTCAAAGGTTCCCCACAGGAGCTCGGCCCCTATCTTGGGGCGTACACACAACCAACACTATTTACCCAAGCCTAGTTACCGCTAGACAGCAAAACTACTTTTCCTGGTTTCGCCTGTCTCCATTCTTCAATGTGTCTCCAAGGAACACTTGCTACTTATTAAGAAAGGAAAATGAGGCCAGGGATTTAGCTCAGTGGTTCCGCCGCCTGCCTCACAAGTGCAAGGTCCCGGGTTCGATCCCCGGTATCAATACCGCTGAAAATTATCCATCTATAAACACTGAATCGCGTTTGTTAACTGCTAACCAGAGCAGGGTAAATGCGAGTCATCTGTGAGGAAACGTGCTCGGATGATAGATACTACCACCGTAGCGAACGCACAGCAAACTCTAGGAATGATGGGTCCAGGCTGCAGGATTGGCGGTGACAGTTTTCCTCCTCTCCCCAGTTTCTCGCGTAATTACAGGCACACTGGGGGATGCTCCCCTCCTGGGCGCCCCGAGCAGGCTGGCCCGCGCCCCAGCGGACCCCGGGCCCCACCCTGCGCCTCCCGGCAGGGGGTCAGACAGGATTCCGGAATCCTCCGTGAACCTGCAGCTCGCGTCCGACGCCACTCGCGGGCCCCACGCCTCACCCCCGGAAAGCCGCGAGCCGGGCGCCCTCAGACAGCGCGGCGCCCACGCACCCCACGCCGCGCCCCGCGCCGCCCTGCGCCGCGTGGGGGAGGGGCGCGCACATGCCCGCGCCGCCCCCGCGCAGACAATGCCCGAGCGCGCGCGCCCGCAGCCACTCACCCTTCCCAGCCCAGACTCCACAGGGCGGTCCGCCCGGCGCCGCGAGACGCTACGGGAGAGGCAGGGAGCGAGCGAAGGCCCACGCAGCCGCCCCGCCACGAGGCTCCAGCCACCCCACAGCCCGAGGAAGCTCACGGCTTTCCGAACCCGCCCGGCCCGCTCCGCCGCGCACGTCAGCAGAAGGGCGGGGCGCGCCTGTGCGGAGACTGCGGGGACGCGCGCGGCCAGGGGCGGGGCTACCGGTGTGTGGGCGGGCAGGGGCGGGGCCGGGGAGGGGTGGCCCCAGATTAACCTGGACCGGTTTTCCCAGCTCAAGGGACTGGTGTGGTGTGGGCGTAGGTTCGGCCAAGGCACCTCCAATCCGTTTTCCTGCCTAGAAGAGGGCGAGTTCTGGCCCCAAGTTTGACAGACCATTCATTCTACTCGCGTTCACACAAATGTCAATACTTGCCGACCGTTGTAGCGCAGGCCTGTAATCCTAGCACTCAGGAGGCTGAGGCAGGAGGGTTGCTGTGAGTTCGAGGCCAACCCAGGCTACATGGTGAGTTCAGAGCCAGCCTAAACTACATAGGAAGATTGTCTCAAAAAACAAAAAACAGGCCAGGGATTTAGCTCAGTGGCGCCACGGCTGCCTTGCAAGTACAAGGTCCTGAGTTTGATCCCCCGGTACTGCCAAAAAAAAAATAAATAAATAAAAGTAGTAATGACAATACTATGATTTTTATGTGTGCCACCTCATGCCAACATCTGCACTAAGGTGGTAGGGATACAAAAAGTAGTTATTACTAACCCATTTTACAAAGCGGAAACTGAGGCTCGAGCCAGGCATGATGGTTCCGACTTGAAGTCTCAGCTCTTTGGGAGGCTGAGGCAGGAGCATCCTTTTAGCCTAGGAATTCCAGACCAGCCTGGGTAGCAAAGATTGAAGAGAAATGAAAAGAGAGGAAGGGAGTAAAGAAACTCAGGCCCAGAAATGTTGAGACTTGCCTAGATCATACAACTAGTGACAATCCATTGAGTCCATTTCCATATATATATATATATATATATATCCCGCAATACTGGAGATTGAACCTAGGGCCTTTGCACTGAGCTACATCTCTCCCTTTTAAACTTTTATCTTGAAAAAAATTTTTTAAATTTTGATACAAGGTCTCCCTGCTGGGAATGTAGCTCAATGATACACCACTTGCCTAAAACAAACAAACATACATGATACAAAGTCTCCCTAAGTCACCAAGTGCCTGGGCTGGGCTCCAGTTTGCAAACCTCCCGCCTCAGCCTCACAGAATGCTGAGATTACAGGTGTGTTCCACTATATCGGCTCCCTCTGGATATCTTTGGAGGCCACACTTTGCTTTCCTCCTCCCTGTACAGCCCACCCACGACTCATCCTTTCTACAGCACCCTGCCACCCAATCTCCGGGGATCTGCTGTTCGATCTCTTTTCCTCACAGGACATTTACCGTGTGGGACTGTGTGATTCAAAAGTTAATTACTCCCCTAGATTCTGTTGTAAATTTGATGGTTGGAGTGTGTTTGCCTCGGGACAATGGACAATCAGTAATAGGGCGAGGTTACTCAGCCATCTGTTTGCCCTAAATCCAAATGTCCCGGGGCCCAGTATCTATAGGACAATCTGTAAACAGGGTGGTCGTAACTGTCAGTCAGGATGTCTGCTGAACATCAGCATGTGACAATGAGCCACTAACCTTTGTTCTTTTTTTTTTTTCTGTGAATCCACATGTTAACCCCCCCCCCTTAACCCCCTATAAAACAACCTCGGACTCTGAGCCAGGTGCCTCTCTGAGCTATTTTGCTTCGGGAGTGCCGTCTGACCAGACTAATAAAGGTCTGTTTCCCAACATGGCCGGTGTGTTCCTTCCCGGGTGTGCTCCACTCCAGCTCCTTGGAGCGTTTGGTAAGGCCTTTGGTCTTACATTCTGGAGGCACCGCTGGGATCCCTGGGTGTGCTCCACTCCAGCTGCTTGAAGCATTTGGTAAGGCCTTTGGTCTTACATTCTGGAGGCACCGCTGGGATCCCTGGGTGTGCTCCACTTCAGCTCCTCCGGGAGCGTTTGGTAAGGCCCTCGGTCTTACAACCGTGGGAGTGGGGGGTGGGTTTAGGGAGTTCATTTTATTTTTTTAATTCTTGACATACATGTTATCAACTGATGTATTTAATGTTTAACATGAATGTTTTGCTAGATTTATTCCTACATCCTTGATAACAAACCCAGTGCTTTGCATTGTAAATACTCAAACATATTTGTGAAATATGTCAACAGTCTGGCCCGGGAACTAACTCCAAAGTCCTGTCTGAGGAGGGAATAGAGGAATTTACATTCCGTCACCCCTGGCCTCTTGACCTTAAAGTTTATTAGAGGTAAAAACAGATGAACAATGTTTGCTCAAGGAATTTGTACTGAGTTTCTATTCTACGTTGTAGCACTGTGTTCCCCACACCGTGCTGGTTAAGCACTGAGGATACCGAACTGGGTAAAGCAGAGTTCCAGCCCTTGTGAAACTTAACGACTAATTACCGCTTGACAGAGAAACTTAATTGAATTGGACAGCTAGGAAAAGCTTCCTTGAGAGTCGGGGATTTAGCTCAGTGGTTCCACAGGCTGCCTCGAAAGCAGGAGGTCCTGTGTTCGATCCCTGCACCAAAAAAGAAAAGGGCTGCATAGTGAGTTCAAGCCTTGAACTACATAGCAAGACTCTGTCTCAAAATAATAATAATAATAATAATAAAGAAGAAAGAGAAAATGGAGGAGGAGGGACAAGAGGAGAAGAAGAAGAAAAGAAAAAAGAAAGAAAAGACCTCCTGAAAGAATACTAAGTGAAACCGGAAAGAACCGGACAGAAGTAGGAGCTATTGGGGAGGATTAAGGCTGAGACAAAGCAGAAGGAAGCCCAGGGCTCTTTAAGCAAGAGTTAGGCAGATGGGGCTGAGATTTAGGGAGGAGCAAGATCACACAGGGAGACAGGGCAAGATTTTGATCTTTACCAAAAAGCAACAGGAAGTCACCAAAGCGTTCTAAGCGGGGAGTGAGGCGTTCAATCTATCCCTTTAAAGGAATCATTTATCCAGGCAAATAAACTGGAAGGGGCTGCGAGCCCCGAATCAGGAGGATAGATGGAAAATCGGAATTGTCCCGGTGAAAATGAGGATGCTCTACTGGGCAGTGTGATGGAGGGAGGGAGGGAGGCGGAGGGATTCAAGGAGTGACAAAGTAAAGAGCTGGAAGGAGACCGGAAGCAGCGGAAGGGAAGTGGTCCCTGCTAAGGCAAGTAGCTTTGGAGAAAGCGCTCCCCTCCCTGAGGCAGGCTCTGCTTGGCCGGGCTGGACAAGTAGCTGGAGGCTGGGTCTCAGGCCCAACACCCCTGGCAGTGGCCTCAGGGAGAGCATGAGGAGGGAGGGCCTAGGCCCAGGCAAAGTTTCTGGCGGATGGAAAAGGTGGTAAAACCACATCCTGAGAAGGGGAGAGACAAAGGAAGAACAGAGCTTACATGTTGGAAGTGATTCAGAAATTCCCTTTGTGAGCGTGTTACTTACCTTGACCCTTAGTTTGTTGAAGACGGCAGCGGGGATCCTGCCTGCTCCTGTCCCCTGGGGCCCTGGCCCGCAGCCATCACACGTGAGTGCGTCTCCTTCTACCTTGGCCAGACTGGTGTCCACACAGGCAGCGCCTGCTGGGAGCGCTACCTCCTGGCACATAGCGTCCGGCTGTGAGACCTGAGTGACTCCATTTTAAAATTTTGGCCCCATTTTAGAGTAAGGTGGCCTGAACATAAATTCTAGTTCCAAAAAAAACCCACAAGATGCACTTTGGCCACCTGCCTGTGATAATGTCCAGCAGTCCCCTAACAACTAGCCTAGCAACAGCTAATCGGTAGCTGCCTCAATGTCCCAGATGCTCTTCTCGATGGCCTACAACAGCTAATCAGTAGTTACCCCAATACCCCAGTATCCCAGATGTTCTTTTCGATGACTTGAGCAGCCGTTTACAGTTCAGCGCACAAGGCCCAACCAATTAGGTTTAAACTTTCAAAACTTGCTAAATGCTAGCCAATTTTGTGATTTGCGTGTGATTCAAAATCCCGCGCCTTTTTGAAACCCCACGCCTTGCTGTAACCTCTATAAAAACCCCTGGTGCTTCAGAGTCAGGGCTCTCAACCCTGACCCGCTGCAGTGGTGTCGGATGAGAGTCCCTGCTCGAGCTTAAATAAATGACCCTTGTGTGTTTGCATCGGAATCGGCTCCTTGGTGGCCTTTGGGGACCCCGAGATCTGGACACAACACAGCCTGATGGCCAGATGAGTGACAGGACCACGGTGGCGGGCGGAGATGACTCTAGCGAGGCTGGTCCCGGCAACCATGTGCCCAGCGCGGTTTTTGCAGACCTGGGCTCCCAGTCTCTGATGAAGTTCTCCCTGGCACCCAAGCAGCTCATCGCAGGCAAGGAAGAGGCCGCCAATAGCCGTGCCCATGGGCACTATACCATCAGCAAGGAGGTCCCAGCTGGAGGCCTCCATTGACCGGCTCCCCAGGTTCCCACAGTTGTAACTGAGCCCCACAACTCTGCCCTTGACACCCCAGCACCTTGGAGCACTATGATCATGCCTTCAAGGTAGACACTGAGTCCACTTGTGACGTCTGTCATAGAAGCCTCGACCCGGAGCGCCCAAACTACCCTAACCTTAACCGCCTGGTTAGCCAGGTTGTGTCTTCCGTCACGGCTTCCCTCAGATTTAACGGAGCCCTGGGTGTTGGTTGACAGAATTCCAGACCAACCTGGTGCCCATCCCTGGATCCACTTCCCTTGGGCCGCATA